GAGGTGATTAGGGTTAGATGAGGTCATGAGATGGTGCCCCCAGGATGGGCTTAGTGCCCCGTAGGAGGTGGGGATCCGAGGGGTCTCCCTGTGTGTACACACACCAGGGAGGGCCACGTGAGGACATAAACTGGAAGAGGGCCCACACCAAGAACCTGACCATGCTGGTGTCCTGGACCTTGGACTTCTAGAACTGTGACAAATAAGTTTCTGTTGTTTAAGCCACACAGTCAATGGTGTTGTTATAACAGCCCAAACTGACTAAGATGTAGGGGCTCAATCGGATTCAGGCTGGGTGTTCTGGGTAGATGTACATCATGGCGGTGACGTGTGTCATCAGAAGGCGGATGACACCTGACTCTCTCTTCTTGTGATGCTAAAGCCGAGCTGGAGGAGGTTTCGATTCCAGGTCGGATGCAGCCAGCACTCCCCTGGCTCTCCCACTGAATGCAGCAAAGGAAACAGAAACCAAAACCAAACAAACCCGGACAGAACACATGCGGCACGTGTAGCAGCTGTTTTCAGATTCTGAAAAGAGAAACTGGAGCAGGCCAACTGGGGAGGATGATGACGTTTCAGACAACTGCGGAACCCTCTCAGGTCCCAGGACACTGGGATGTGCCAGAGAGATCGCAGACAGGGACGCACTTGGGGAAGCAAACCCCTGAGGTCATTCCTGAACTCCCGGGCTGGTCCCCAGGCTGCACGAGCACAGCGCAGATGAGAACTGAACTCGAGCACCACTGCCCAGGCCCGGACTGACCACTGGGGGGTGCGCGTGCGGGACGGATCCAAACGGCACTGCAAAAATAACTGGAAAACTGCTGCAGTCCCCGTGGGGGGCTGTCGGGAACCTGTGTTCTGATCTAACAAGGTCATCTGCCTCCTAAAAAAAATAAATAAATAAGCACTCTCTGTAGGATTTAAATAAAACCCATAATGTCACACATAATATTCAAAATATCAAGAATATAATCCAATATTCCTTGCCATCTGGAAAATCTCAATTCTCATGGCAAAAGATAATTAACAAATATCAATGCCAAAATAAGACATGTTGAAATTATGTGATGAGACTTTAAAGCAACCATTATACAAATACTCTAACAAGCAACCACAAACACTCTCGGAACAAATGGAAAATAGAAAGTCTAGGCAAAAAGCAGAAGATACAAAAGAAGAGCAAAAAGGAATTTTAGAACAAAATACAGTAACCAAATTAATAACGAACCATAGTATGTGGACTGAAAAGTTGACTAAGAAAAAAAAGTTGACAAGATAGAAATTACCCAATCTAAACAACAAAAAGATAAAAAAGATCGGTTAATAAATGAGCAGAGTCTGAGGGGCCTGAAGGATGCTAAGGAAAGAGCTAAAGTTGTTATCAGAATCTCATGAGAAAAGGAAAAAGAGCGAAGTTCTTTAAAAAATATTTGAAAAAATAATAGCATGGCAAAAGACAAAAACCTACAGATTCAAACGGAACCTTAAGGAAGATGAACTCAAAGAAATCCACATACCCAGGCACACAATAATCTCACTGCTAAAAACTAAAGAAAAAAAAATCTCCAAACTAGTCACAGAAAAAGGACAACACATTCTCCACGGAGAAACTCTGTGAACGAGCACAGATCTGTCATCGAAAGCCACAGGCGCCAGGCGGGGCGGCACTACATTCTGAAAATGCTTAAGGAAACGAACTGTCAGCCCGGAGTTCTACACTCAGGAAACACATCCGGGAGCAATGGCGGTGAAACACAGACATCCTCAGACGAGGGGAGACTAAGAGCACTGGCTGCCGGCGTGTCTGCGTTAGAAGAATTGCTAAAGGAAGTCCTGAGACGGAAGGGAAAGACACCAGAAGGAGACTTGGAACCTCAGGAATGAAGGAAGAGCCACCGAAATAGTGGTTACCTGGGTAAATATTCTTCTCCTGGTTTTCTCCTCTGGGCATCTTTAAAGCATATTTGAAAATTTAAAGCAAAAGTTAAAACTCTGCCTGTTGGAGTTTTTAATGCATGGAGATGTACCAAAACAACGGAAACACAGGGAGGCCTCAGAGTGGACAAGGTGTCTGCATGCCACTCGAAGCGGTGCAGTACCGACTCAAATTCTGTGAGAAGGCTGGCTGCTGGCTCCAGGAGTTTCCAGCCCGATCCATCCACTGTGAAGCTCCCCAAGTTTTCATCTAATGGTTTCAGCAGCCACTGATGATCCATTTCTCTATTAGAGTTTACAAAACAGAGATACCCTAATTCCCTCATTCTTCTGTTACAGCTGGCGTTCTTCAATACAAAGGAGCTCTCCTAAGTCAGGTATTTAGTTACTCAGAAGTGCAATTCATAGGGGAAAGGGAAGGTGCTTGGTTCTTTCCTTTTATTTACCAGTTTTCAAAATAGTGGGTTAGAACCACTATTTTTAAGTAGTAGTTAAGGCAAAGAAAAACAGTGACTTAATATGAAACGGATATAATTTACTCAATTAGGGGCCAATATCCAAGCATTTAAATCAGACGTGGTTTTTAACTAAGGCAGGGAGTGTGTAAGATGACCCTGTTGTCTAGATGTACACACTATAATGTGTCGTACTCACTTTTCATTGCCACTGGATTACTCTCTAGTGTATATGTACTCTTAGTATATACTCCCTAGTATATATATATCACTTATATATGTATATGACATGTATAATTCCCCCTTAGTTTATAAGATCCCCATGGACAATAGGAAGTAGAGCTCAAGCTAACAGACACTAAATGAAATATAAAAGCAGCGTGTCCTTTTCACAAAGATGGAGCCAAAATTAAAAAAGGATGCCCCTGCCCCTCTCAGAGCCGAAGCCCAAACAAAGGCTTTGAAGGCAAAGAAAGCAGTGCTGAAAAGTGTCCACAGCCACAAAACCCCCAAGATCCGTACATCACCCACCTTCCAATGGCCCAAGACACTGGGTCTCCAGAGGCAACCCGAATATCATCGGAGGAGCACCCCCAGGAGAAACAAGGTTGGCCACTAGGCCATCAAGCTCCCCCGACTACTGGGTCAGCCATGAAGAAGACAGAAGATGCCAATACACCTGTGTCCACTGTGGATGTCAAGGCCGACAAGCACCAGATCACACAGGCTATGGAAAAGCTCTATGACATTAATGGGCCAAGGTCCACACATGCTGACCAGGCCTAACAAGGTGCTTTGGATGTTGCCAACAAAACGGGGATCATCTAAACTGAGTCCAGCTGGCTAATTCCCAACATAAAAAATGTTTTCAGTGTAGAGAAAAAGGATATTCTTGGACATCCTAAGCCAAAGGCAAAACTCTAGTAACTATGGTCTTCCTCTTAATCACCCACGGTTTTAAGTCACGACACACCTTCATAACCAATCACTCCGTGCCAGCCTCTAAGCCTTTTTCAGATATCATCGCATCTAAATCTTACGACAACCCCAGGAAGCAGGCGCTCAGCACTGCTTTTGGAGACTAGGAAACCACTGGGCCGGGTCACGCGGCATGTCCATCCCCTGCTCAATGAGGGCGAACACGAGCAGGAGGCCAGACCCTGCAGCTCCAGTCACTCTGCTCAGTCGGGCCCGACCCACTCAGTGAAATGCAGCCTCCCAGGAAGGTGGGTTTCAGCCGCTGTACTAACTGTTCAATAACCTAGTGGCTGTGCCGTATTTCTGCCACCTGGGACCCAGAAGATGAAATAAGGCAACAGGAGAAGGCAGGTGGGAGAGTTATGAAGTCCCAGCGTCCCTGCGGGGAGGGCACAGCAATGACTGCTCCCTGGAGGACATAACAGCACAGGGGACAGCTGCCCCCTTCTCCAGGGACTTAAAATAGAACCAACAGGATAAGAGAAAACCAACTGATCAAAACAATCGCTGAAGTCACCAAAACTTACGTTTTGGAAAAAAAAGATAACGTGACAGAATGGTCACAGGAAAGGACAACTCAATTAAGCACAGAGAAGAGAAGAGAAGAGAAGAGAAGAGAAGAGAAGAGAAGAGAAGAGAAGAGAAGAGAAGAGAAGAGGAGGCGGCGGAGAGAACAGACTGGCACAAAACAGTCCAAATATTAACGGTGTTGCGTTCTGGGCAGCTTTGCCTCCCTCTTTATACTTTTCCATATTTTGCAAGTTACATTAACAATCAGAAAAGAAAATCTTATACAAATATGCAGACACAGAAAATAAATGTGTAAATTGGCCCAGAGCCTACTACAGTTACCAAGGCCCTGTAGACTAAATATTTAAGGGCAGAGCAAGGAAGAAACAGTGAGCAGGGACCAGAGTGAGCAGTAGCAACACAGCAACCTGCTGGGAGAGATGGGATAGTATGAGAAGCAAGAAAGAGACACTCAAAGGTCACCGAAGCCGCTGCGTGTGAAGTGATTCTGGACAAAGAGATGCCAGCAAGGAAGGGGCTGCATGTACCCAGGCCAAGGAGCGGCGCTCAACACCAAGACTGCTAAGAGGCCAGGCGGGATGGGAAGAACCAGAGGGGGTATGTGTGTCTGTGTTGACTCCATGGAATATTATACAGCAGGTAAAAGGAATCGGGGTGGTCACGAATCAAAACCTTTAGCTTTCTATACTGTCTGAATGTGTTTTTCCAAAATATATTCTCATAGTGTGTGTGTGTGTGTATACATATGTAATTAAAATATAAATATCTTTTTTGAAAAAAGAGGAGAGAACTGGCTCTGCTACTTGTACGCTGGGTGATTCCTTACCTGTTAACGGGACCCACACACCTGCATTTGCTCAGCTACTGTCATAACTGAAAGCAAGGTACGCCCAAGGCCCAGTGCACTTAGGAGAGTCCTGATAAAGGGCAGCTGAGCATTCGCACGAGACAGAAGTGGCAAAGAATGGAATCAGGGTCACAGCAGAAAACGCCTGCGCCTAAGGGTGGAAGAAGCCCAAAGGCGCCAGTGGCCAGCGGGGAGGGGGTGGGCGGCTGCCAGTGACCAGGGATCACAGCACGCAAGCTCCCAGCACTCACTGCAGTTCTCTTCATCGCTGCCGTCGGGGCAGTCCTCAAACCCGTTACACCGGAAGCGGCCGATGATGCAGTGGATGCCGCTGGCACAGGGGAAGAACGTTGGGCCGCATTTCGATTTCGCCTTGGCTGAGGGAGGAAAAACAGGATAAAGAGCAAGACGTTAGGAAGTTAAGTTCACTAACCACGCATACCCACCCCACCAGCTCTGAGTGTGCAAATGGGCCCTCTTCCATTTACCTGGAAGTCTGCAGGAGTTTCTTACTACCACCACTCGCCCCAGGCTGGAAGCCCACAGGCACCATCCTCTAGGAAGGGAGTGGCTAATCCTGCTGCTCTGAAAGCCCCAGAGAGGCCACCCCCACCCCTGCGCCACCAGGGCTCAGTCCGAATGTGCTAACAGGAATGAATTGGTGAGTAGATGGATGATGGATGGAGCCTGCTCTTAAGGTGCTAACAAGCCATTCAAAATTCATTCCTTGACTGTCAAAGTAATTGCTGACATTCACTGAGTGCTTACTGTCCTAGACGGCGTGGCTGGCGCTTCACACGGATCATCTCTTTTAATCTACCCAGCAACCACCCAATGGGGCGGTATGCAGAAAAAAATTTAATGCAAGAGGCCAGAGACTGCGATTCTTAGAGAAAGGCTTGCTGGCAAGGCTGGCCCCTGCTTGCCTGACATCGGGGAACCTGGATGGTTTGTACCACCCTCTCATATTAATGGTTTGCTGCGCCCAAACTCTTTATGTAGATGGCGCAGTTGATGCGGAACACCTGCTTTTCCCTGAAAGCGTGTGCGAGGGTGCCGGTGTGGCTAACCCACTCCCAGGAAAAACGCTGGGCACCGCGTTTGAGTCTCTGACGAGCATCCGTCCTCACTAGAAAACATCTCACACCGGTCATCGCAACCACTGCTGGGGGCTTCAGCACAGCCTGTGTGGCACCACTGGGTGACAGGACTCCTGGAAGTCTAAACTGGGTCTCCCCTGGAATTCGCTCCATTCACCTCTTTTCCCCTCGCTGGTTTTGCTTTGGCTCCTTTCACTGTCATCAATCACAGCTGTATGACTGACTATAGGCCGAGTTCTATGAATCCTTCGAGCAAATCACTGAACCTGAGCATAGTCTTGGGGCCCTCGACAAAGATGGGTACAGTTCTTATCCCCATTCCATAGATATGCCTTGCGAGATAGAGTCACTTGCTCAAGGGCGCAGAACTGGAAGTCTGGCCCTGGCACGATGCCCCAGGGCACTTAGACCCCAGAGGCCATGCTCTCCACCAAACCCATTGTGCTGCCACCAGGCCGGCATCTGACATTTTCTGAAACAGAAGCCCATCTCCTGCTCAAAGAAACTCTTCCTCCACTTCTGCTGTACAAACCACTTTAAAAGAAACTGCTGTGACACAGGCTTGGCTGAGTGTCCTGCTAACCAAACAGCCCTGTGGTGTGACGTCCTTTCCCAGTCATGGGCCTGGCTGCTCTGGCTGGTGATGAACTGCATCCCGGGTAGCAGATCCCACCTGGCATGACCCTCATCTCCTGTCTTAGAAGCAGGGCTCAGTGTCCTCAAAAGGAAGGGCCGTTTCTTTGGACCAAACAGGCAGTGAATTATCCTCACGCTCCGGCTGATCCACAATCAAGAGGGTTTTAAGGGCTGGGACACGCCTTGGTTTTAAAAGACCATGTGGCTTTGTTTTGGCCCGGAGCGTCCATCCAGGACCTGGTGCGCCCTTCACAAAGCACGAATGTGAAAGAGAGTGACGGAGGCTCCATTTTTTCATGACCTTGGGTAAGTTTTCAAATATTACTGAGTTTCAACTTCCTTATCAGTAAATTCAAGCTAATACCTACCTCATAGGGCTCTAAAAATATTCAGTGAGATCATCTATGTCAAATGTTTAGCACAGAGCATAGCACACTGTAGAGCAGGGGTGTCAAACTCATTTTCACCAGGGGCCACATCAGCCTCGTGGCTGCCTTCAAAGGGCCAAACGTAATGTTAGGACTGTATAAATGTAACTACTTCTTAACTAGGGCAAGGAGCTTGGCACTGCTGCCGGGTAGAAACAAGGCGTCAGGCCAGATAAAACAAGGTGGAGGGCTGGATTAGGCCCGAGGGCCTTGTGTTTGCCACCTGTGCTATAGCTGCTCAATTAATGATGCTTATGCTATTTATCATCATCGTCATCATCATCGTCATCATCATCCCCATCATCAATAGGCTTAAAGAACTCTAAAATTGATCCTTGAGCTGTTGAACTTTTTTTCTGATGACCAAAGTTCAAAGAGCTCATCATCATGGACAATCTCTAGGAACCGATGTAAAGTGCTCTCCAGGACTGACCGTTAAGTGGAAAAAGCAAACTGCAAAGAGGAGCTAGAATACATTGACCCTCTACAGTAAAAGGAGGGGCTATAAGAAAGTAACTGGGACAACTGGAACAGCATAACCAATAAAATATACTTTCGAAGAAAATATACATGAATTACCTTATCTGTGCAAAAGAAATCCAGGGAGAATAAGCCAGGAATGAAAGACTCCGGCTACCAACAGAGGGTGGGTGGGCAACAGTGGGAATGATGGGGAAGCAGGACTGGAACGAGGTAGCAGGGATGGGAAGGCCACACGTTTCTCTGAGTCTATCTGCGTAACTCCGACTCAGAACCTCGATATTTCACACACCCAAAAAGCAAACAACTAAAATCAACCATGTGTATGCGTGTGTATAGACTTAAAATGCAATACAAATAGCAACAAACGCACACAACTGTATTACAGATGAATACCACCACCACCACCCTGAAGGGGTTGGGGAAGAAAAGAACTAGCCTAAGTAACTATGAAATGATTCTTTTTACTGGATTCTATACGGTGAAAGGAAAAAAAACAGCACACAAATACGGTATTCTAGCTGTAGTTGTTTGTCACAGGGGATGGATCAGGGATTTTGAAATTACTTTAGTAACAGCAAGGTATCTCCCTATCAGAGAGAGAAGTTACAAATAAGGACAGTGGGAAGGCTGCAATGTACCCTGAGGCTCTGTACTGGGCTCAGGTTTGTCCAAACAGACTAGACACAGATACAGATGAGTGTAGATACAGACGCACAGAGACAGGGAGAGAGGTCGGGTTGGTGATGTGTACGGGGCGACGAGTGTACTTCTATCTCCCAGCTCCACCTGCTAAGAAAGACAGGAGCAGTCAGTGCACCCTGACGGCACTGAGCAAGCCCCGAGCTTGGTTTCTAAACACCATTAGCCAGTAAAGGGAACCAGGGCTCCCTGAAGAAGTGGGTGATTCCAGGGGGAAAACACAAGATAAACCTGGAGTGTCCTGTGTTGCCAGAAAGTAGAGAAGCGTTCACAATAGGATGGAGACCTGTCAAAAGGACGCAGGAATCAACCTGAAGGACTGAGTTCCCAATGACCAAGGGTAGAATAATTTAAGCAACAAAATAAACAAAAACAGTACTGGCTTGAAACCCAGAGAATATAATAAATGCCTGTGAGTCCAAACTGGCATGACAAATTGTTGAATAAATAAGTAAATGAGGGAGAAGGGAAAGTGCTTCCTTTTGGAAAAATTCCAATTAATAAATGTGGAAGGGATGAGGGAAATAGAATGTCACAGTAACAACCACTACAGGCCAGACCCAGGGAGGGACACTCGAATTAAGAGGCCCGCCCGCCTTGCTCGGGCCGTCCTTCTAAGGCTAAGGGAAGAAAATACCTGTAGGCTTTTTACCCTCCAAACGGGGTTTCCTCATAAACCTCAATGTGGTCACTCCGTCACTCGGAATTCCACTGCCTTCCCACCTCCTTAAGGAGGCCCAGGAACCCCCCCCCCAGCACCACGTGCTCCCGGAGACCGCTCCAACTGCTGGCCTGCCCATTCTCTGTGCTGTGGCTACACAGGCCTCCTGGCTCCTCCTTGAGCCCACGAGGCTAAGTGCCACCATAGGACCTTTGCACCGGCCGCTCCCTCTAGCTGGAATGCCTTTCTCCCCGGGGTCGGCATGGCTCCCCCCACCACATACTTAGGTCTCTTTAACCACTGAGGTCCCTTTAACCAGTATGGTCTATAGTAGAACCCTGCCTCCCACCCACAGTCACTCTAGTGCCTACCCTGCTTTTCTTTCTTGTCCTTCATAGCAAAGATGTCACCAGCTTTGTGTTGGGCTGTTTGGTGATGAACAGACACTCACTCGAACAGTATCACTCACCACTTTGGAAGGAGCCTACACCAGATGGCTAACAAATACTTGCTGAACATACAAAGGAACCTACAAAGAGAAACAAGGGGGTTGGGTGATACTAGTTAGCATTTACTGAATACTTGGAACGGCTAGGCACTGCACTCCATGTTTTACAAATATCTCACTGACTCCTCACAAAACCCGTTTTACAGATAAGAAGACTGAGGTCCAGATGTGAAGTAGCTTCACATCTGCTAATAAACTGAGTCAAGACTCAAACCTTGTTCTTGACACGTCTTCTCTGTGGCCTCCTTACATATTTTTAAGGCCCAGCAATCCCAGTTCCAAAGGCCTACACCTCATAAGATAATGAGAGAGAAAAGTGAGTGAGAAGATGAATAATTATAAGTGAATTAGCCACCATTCAATTAACCAGCTCTTTCCCCTGTCCCTGCACTCTCCTCAGGGACTAGCCATCAGACGTCCTGCCTGGCCAGGGATGCTCGGATACTCAGAGGGAGCCTGTCCTGTTAGGATTTACATCTGCACCAGCAGACGCCGGCTAAGGCGACCTCCACGGTGGATCACAGGCGGCCAGCCGAGCGCTTGGCAGAGGCTCAGAGAGAGAGGCCAGGTGCTGACAGCAGCTGTCAGCTGCTCCCTGCCTGCGTGACCTGCTGTGAGGCTTAGCGGGGTCCTGGACAAAGTCTGGGCCCCATCTCCACGGAGGGGAGATTTCAGCATGAACCTCAGCAGTCCTGGCAAAAGGCGGAAGGACTCTCCGCCTAAACTCGCACTGACAAAGGCGGACAGGGAGACTCCACTCCCCTGAACCCGTGTTTAAATCCATCACTTTGCAAGGAGCTGCTCCATGAACTTTTCAAAGTGGCAGCTTTTGCCAGCAAGACAGGAATCAGGGCTCTCCTGG